GCCAACGGCAAGGGCATAGTCACCGCGGATGGTGCCTAAGATAAATTGAGCACCTAAGTGTAACCTGATGACTTATGATAGACTGACCAGGGCCTGACTGAAGGGGGTTGGTGGCGCCCAACATGACACGGCCAGTTTTCACAGCATCCAAGCCCTCCCAGACCATGGCAAATACAGGGCCAGAGAGCATGTATGTGATCAAGCCAGGGAAGAAGGGCTTCTCTCTGAGGTCCTCATAGTCTACAAACCGAATGTGATCAATCATTGCGTTGAAAATATGGTTGGATCTCCAACTCACGCTTCTCGAGATGCTCTCTGGAAGGAGAGATGAGCTTGGCGGCGATGAGCTTGAAGCCGCGCTTCTCGAAGCGGGCGGTGATCTCGCCAACAAGACCACGGTCAACACCATCGGGCTAGAAGATGGTGCGGACGTTCAGCGGATGATGATCTCGAGATGATAGATGGCTACCTTGATCATGATGTAGGTGCGTTCACGGATGTTGGGGGCCATTTTTGTTGTATCTGAGCGGAAAGATGAGGAAGTGATTCTAAATGATCGCAGTCAAGATTTGTTGCGAGTTTTATCTTACCAGATCTTATCTTTTTGAAAAATAAGTCTAAATAAAGCGGATGCAAATAACGCCAAATAACCTTCCCGGGTGGCTCCGCTTCTTGAATTGTAGTTTCGCGAAGACACCATACTCAGTAGCCAACGCGATGAACGTGCTCGGCCCTTCCCTCGCACCCTACATTCGTTCCTCGCGGACGCTCAAGAAATATGTGACACCAGTCGCTCACTGGTATGCTGACCTCATGGGCTACCGCAAGATGGGCCTCAAGTATGATGACCTCCGTGCGTGTCATATGTTCAGTTCGGGGATGAATATGTTGAAATTGGATTCATGTAGAGGTCGAAGAGAACCCACAAGTCCAAAGGGTGAGTTGCCTATCCACTTTTTGTGAACATATTTAACGTTGACTGGAATTACAGGCACTCGGTCGTTTAACTCCGCGAGAAACCTATGAGCGCTCCTACCGCTTCAAAATTGCAAGCAACTGTGATCTTCACCACAAACCTTTGCCAAAAGAACAGTGGTCTAAGCCTGAGGATGTACGTTGATATCTCGCAGTACTAAAAAGTGGATTGACGCTGACCGCTGTTTCAGGACAAGCGATACCTCCAGCCTCATATTCTGAACATCATTAAGGAAGAGGAGGAGAGATTCACCTGGGACGCAATGACCGTCCAACGCAAATAGACATTCGCATCCATGTAGACTCACAGTTGTGACTATCCATATCCACACATATTGGCGATGACTTCACCTGAAGTTTTATACTGTTCACTTGAACTATAATCAAGAAGGGTGCTTCAATTTTGTTTGATTACCCTCTGCAGCACCACAACTTTGATATATATATATCCAGTTTCTGTCCCTTTCAGAGCGATACTCTATGTAGGACAAAGCACCACAACTTGTCAATCATCAATCTATTTGATTACAGGATCTTTACATCGCTTTCTACAAGTAATCTAACCTAATTCCAGGACCGGCAAACTTTTTTAGTACTACTCGACACAATAAACGGTTTCTACAAAGCCTTGACGAGAGGAGACACAACTTGACCGCCCTTCTGCTTGTAGAACGCGATGACCTTCTTGCTAACGGCGGCAATGTCTGGATCACAGTTAGTAACGTCACAGTCTTGTGTATGCGCTAACTTACTAGGGCCAGTGATGCCAAACTTCTCATACACCTTGAGGTACGGTCCTGAAGCTCCCCATGCAGGTAGACCATATTGCTGCCAAATATATGAGCTATTTAGCAAAATCGATGCGATCACGAAATCTTACCTCGTGGCTGTATTTTTGCCAACCAGTGGTCTATTTCGAGACAAGTCAGCCAAATGTGCCACTTCTTTAGGTATTCAAATTTACCGTGAGTGCCTCTAATGACAGAATAGGAGCACCGCTCCTGAGGACACTGAGCCTGTATTGCTCATCCTGCTTGTCAAACACCGACCAGCAAGGCAAGCTGACAAGCCGGACGTTGACACCCTCTTTCTTAAGCAAGCTCGCTGCTTCGAGGGCGATCGGAACCTCGCTGCCGCTGCTGACAATCGTCAGGTCCTCGTTAGCGACCTCGTAGAGCACGTATCCACCCCGTGCTGCACGCTCAATGGTGGAGCCCTCAAGGTTAGGCAGGTTCTGCCGGGAAAGTGAGAGGACGGATGGTGTCTGCGTGCTCTTGAGAGCAACGAGATAGGCTGCAGACGTTTCGTTACCATCTGCAGGGCGCCAGAAGTCGAGGTTGGGGATTGCACGCAGGTGGATGCCGGTTTCGATCGGCTGATGAGTGGGACCGTCTTCTCCAAGACCGATGGAATCGTGCGTGGCTTGACAAATCATGAACATCGTTTCCTTGTTTCTGAAGAATTCTGTTTACTCACCGACCCAGATTACCTGATGCTTGCTGAGCGCGGACAACCTGACGGCACCAGCCGCATATGAAACAAAGTTCTAAGATGGGGTCAGCGAGAAACATCGGCTAAGGAAGCACGCTATTCACCAAGAATGTAGCGACGAATGGCACAATACCACCATAAGCATGCAGACCATTGGCAATGGCGCCCATACCGTGCTCACGAACACCATATCGAATATACGTGCCGGCGTAGTTTCCGAGTCCGGTGCTAGGGGGTTGGAAGTCAACAGTTCCCTTGACCTTGGTCAAGTTACTGCCTGTCAGATCGGCAGAACCACCCATGAGATCGGGGAGTGCGGGAGTGATCGCCGTAAGCACAAGCTCAGATAGCTTGCGAGATGCTTGAGCAGGATCGGCAGGGGTGTACACAGGGAGTTTTTGCTCCCATCCTTCCGGGAGTCTCCCAGAAATCCGGCGAGTGAGCTCGGCGTGCTCTTTGGGGTATGCTTTGGCATACTCGGCGAGAAGGCTGTTCCACTGGGACTCGAGCTTGGCGCCGCGAAGGGCAGCTGCTCGGTAAGTGTCATAAGTCTCCTTAGGCACGTAGAACTTTTGGTCAGGAGGGAATCCAAATTTGCTCTTCAGGGATTGAATGTCATCGGCCTTGAGAGCTGGGGGAAAGATGGTTCGCACACAGGCACTTGATATGTCAAAAAATCACACGCACGAGCGCCATGAACACCGTGGGTGCCCTGTTGCTTTGATCCGTAACCGATTGTGGTCTTGAGACAGATGATGGTAGGCTTGGTCTTCTCGGCACGGGCAGCGACAATGGCACCGTTAATGGCAGCAAGATCGCTGGGCGCAAGTCAAACATTGAAAATATGAATGAGAAACCATCTCGTACTGGTCACCGTCATTGACGTGGAGAACTTGCCAGCCGTATGACAAGAAGCGCTGCTCGACATTCTCAGTGAAAGCAACAGCGGTGTCACCGTCAATAGAAATGTCTTAATGGGGATTAGTCACGGAACGGAGCCGCAAATAAGGAACCGACGTACGGTTATCATCATAGATCTGGGACAGACCGGTTAATCGAGGGGAAAAGTCACACGTGAAAGGTACGCACGACGATCAAGTTGCCCAACTGCAAGTGACCAGCAAGGGAAGCGGCTTCGCTTGCAACACCCTCCATCAAACAACCATCTCCAGTGAAAACTGCAGGCACACGGCTATGACATTCCGAATCTTCGGAACTGGGAAAGTACTAACCATACGTGTAGTTGTTGATAAGATCAAAACCGGGACGGTTGTAAACTGCGCCGTAGTGTGCCTGCGCCATAGCGAGACCAACACCGTTGGCGAATCCCTGACCAAGGGGACCGGTGGTGACCTCGATACCTGGCGTAGTGTCAGCGATCCGTCAACCTGGACTGTGTCATAAATAGCACTTACCATCAGTATGGTGTGCCTCCGGGTGACCAGGGGTCAAAGAATCAAGCTGCCTGAATGCCTTAAGGTCATCCATGGAAAGCTTGTATCCCAAGAGGTGCAACAAGATGTACTGCAGTGCGCAACTAGATTGCCCATCAGTTAGTGATACACCAGTCAGGGGTCAAGTGCATACGCGTGTCTGCAGTGTTCATCAGCGAGCAGTCGAATATGAATATGGACACAAACTCACCCATTAGATAGAACGAATCGGTCGCGGTTAAACCACTTGGAGTTTTTGGGGTTCGCGTTGAAGAATCTAGGGTATTATTAAATAATCGTACGATGTGGACGCATTGATATGACTTGCCTTGTGAAGAGAACATGGGAGACAGGCGCCATCCCCATGGGTGCACCTTAAAGATGGTCATCGTCGTTATCGTTGCACATGATGAAGTTGATCTAGTCGTGCTCACCTGGATGGCCAGAGTTTGCCTTGCCAACGACATCGGCAGCAAGAGTGCGGATGGTGGCAATGGAGGTGTTGTCTGTTGACTCCGGAGTGAAAGACATGATTGATAGATTTGAAGGAGAAGGAGTTAGAATTGTTCGGGTTAATATATACCCCTCAGAGATAACTGTTTCAAGCTGTACTGATGCGATTTAAGTTAGCGACCGGCTTACGAAGGCTTACGACCATGGAACCATTTCACACGTCGATTCTCGCGTTAACTCTCTCGGACAGGACGGTTGCCTACGGAAAACATACAACCGGGACTTGACCGGAGCTCTCTTCTCATCTTGGTCTGTGCGTGTATCGTTAACTCGCCGACACTGGTTTTCGACAACTGCCTTGGATCCCACTGTCAGTCGGTGCCGTGTAGCCCTGTAACACTTTTCATGCAGCATTTCTCAGATGCATCCGCAGTTGTCTGATAAACGAATAGGTGCGGCGCACGGCCTTTGTGATATTCTTTCCTGTTCTGACCTAGCCATCAAAGTCTGCAGGGAATTCATCCAGGCACTGGATGCATGTCATGTCAGTATCTGGGCGCGTCTCACTGGTGGTTGCAACCAAGAAAAGGACAGCCTTAATAAGTGCCTTCGAAAAGAGGTTAGTTGCCTGCCTTTAGTACGCCCCTCCTAGCGCTGATATTTCCTTGGCTTAGCGCGTCGAGCGCTCGACTCGTAACCGGGCCCAGGCCAAAGAGCAACGTTTGAAAACTGAACAGGTTTGGAAGGAGCTTCACGAGGATGATTAAGCTCTAGTCGTTCCTACCCAACCGCACCTCTCACGTAGTCGACATACGCATGATATTTTCTGATGTCGTCAAAATTGTCTCACAAGAAACTTGGCCGGATCAGTTATGTAAAGCATCTCCCACAGCAAACGAATGGCCACAAATGTCATAACGGCCTCATAGTAAGTGCGACATATCTCTTCCCTAGCATTGAATTGTCATGATAGTTGAGAAATCTCAAATACATGAACCTTTTGCATTTCAACAAAACCGCTATCAAATACACTTCGTCAGGGGAAGGTGGCCTATCACTGGTGACCACGTTATGAAGAACTAGTGGCCATACAATGGTCTGATTTTGGCAGATGAGTCAATCATCTTGACAAAGAATGATGTAGTCATGATCTCACCGACACTAATAACGCTCGGATCCGGATTTCCCCACCACGTAGGGAAGCTTATGGCATTTCCGCTTGCCCCTTAAATGGAGTAAGTACAATTGAGGCGAACTTGCAAACATAGAACTCACCGAACACCGCAAAATTAAGGATGAAGTAAATGATGGACGTACCTCCGTCCAGAGCGGCGGAGGTCAGATCTACATAGTCATCCCTAGTTGGTTGATCGTGATATCTCCAGTCAGATTACGCACAGTTGTATTTGATGTACCATCTTGGCTTCCTAGTCCTGACCCACCATTGCGTATACAACCCGATGGCGAACCCTGGCCACCACATCCCTGTATTAATCATCAGTACAAGCTACGGAACATCGTACGATTCGCCAACGTACCATTAACTGAGTATGGAAGCCAACCAAGATACGTAAATATAATCGGCATGTTAAGGTAGGACCAGATCCATTGTCTGTCGTCCCGAGTATCAGATCTCTATAAATAATCTTCAGAGGAAATTACCTTGGGAATAAGCGATGCATAGCATAGAGCAAGAAAGGAGCGAGAAACCCGTATAGAAGTCCGAGAGGAAGCTGGAAAAAGATTCGTGAATTTGCATTCGCAACAATCTACTTGAGAACTTACCTGAAAGTAGGTTTTACCTGGGCCGTATAGCTCTGCACTCAGAGCGCCCCATGTAATTGCTGCTGAGTTGATCTCCTGTGAGCCCCACCCTGACCATATACGTGTTCCGATCGCTACAATCAATCTTGTTTGAGTTCGAGTAGAGACTGTATATGTATGATATAGCGCACGGTTTATCAAATCAGCTCTGTGTGCGTCTACGATGGACTTATAGAGGACATAATTGAAAACTCAACCAAAGCATTCAGCGAGATAAGCCTCGTAAAACGTCAGTTACTTACTGGCCCCAAGAATCGTGCCGCTGATTTGCGCAACAAAGGTAGCTCTAGGCGGTACCTTTGCATATTGTCCTTCGAAAACAAACGTTAGATCTTGAGTCAACTCATCAAAGTGGAAGATAGCACCTAGCTTCAAATCGGAGAGCATGGCAAATGTCTGATAAGCAGTGTTGTAACCGTACAACTTTGCATACATATTCTGAACCGGTTGCTGAGGGTGAACATATGCCTAAACATAACCTGTCAGAGTTGACCGCTACCATTAATGCAGAAAAACCACCGACAGCAATGACTTGCACAAAACCTCCAGTGGGGATCTGGAATCCTGTCACAGCATATATGAAACCAAGGATGACGGCGATAATGAATGCTATGCAAGAGAACATGAGGTGGAATCGAACTCCTTGGCAAAGTCGGTAACTCACAGAGGATGGTAAAAACGATGAGAGACCACCATGGAAGGGTGTTGATGCCAACGTACGCCATACCAATCGCTAGGCCTAATGATACGATGAAAACAGAACCGTACCACCATTGTGGAACCTCTTTATACACTTTCATTCGCTGAAAGTGAACACTGGAATGCAATGTTGAAGGAAGTCCGAAAGTAAAGAAAAAGGTATAGCTCACTCGTCAAATTCCTGCTCTGACTTTAGGAAGTTGAAGCCTTTGAAAGCTTCCCATAGCTCTGTCCAGTGCCACAAAAGTATGTGGGAAAATGCTGCTCCCATAGAAGCATAGCTCATAAGGGTAGAAACTGCGTAGGTTGTTGTCATGAACCTGAAAAGCATTTTCATCACAAAAAGATTACTATGCCTGTTTATGTACGTACGGGGGTCCAACTTCAGCATACTTTTCCGGGTCGAGTGTATTGTCGGGGGTAAGGATCGCGGATTGGTTGTACGATGAGCCATTACCAGTAAATAGCGCAGTTGACATGAACGGTAACCCCCTCGAATACCCTTGGAACACGTCTGCATAATAGCATGCGGCTGACAGCGAATCGATGAATGATGTGACAAGGGAATTGTATGACGCGACTCACTCATCAGAGCATAACAAAATGCTAGCCCAATCCAGGAAGAAACTTGAGTCTGCAGAGGCCAATATAAAGGATACGCTTGTGTGATCAAGCTCCAGTCGAAACTGAATGACAGCAGACCTAAACCTTCATTGGACCCTCCCCCACCAAAGATGTTGCGAACAACAGCCGAGCGACCATTATCAGCCAGGCAAATAATAGAGAACGCCGTTAGAAGGGGGAACATCCAAGTCGGAATGATTTCCTGTGGGTGGTAACATGAGATCAGCGAGGGTGAGCTCGTGTTATGTTGCTTCACCGACCCAACAAAAGATGGCCCAAAAGACTGAGGAGCTCTTCAGCGTTCATGAAGTTCGATTTAAAAAGATTTACCAATCCAGAAGTACTTCATTTTCTTGCTGTTGAGTAAACCACCAAAGTGCATGGATTGCAGAAGAGAAATTGACGGGAGTTGGTTCGGATACAGTGCGTAAGTTGGCCATACGAGGAGGGTTCTTAAAAGCCCTGCAAAACCATATCCAATCGACTGAATCATGGGGTCAATTCCAATATCAGACTTAGCAAGCGGTTGGTAGCACCTGCGATGCGAACGTTTGGAAGATTGCCGCTCCAGGATTCAAGGTCACGCCGTAAAACAAATCAAGTGTTGCTATTATACCAATAGCAGTAGCTGTAGTTGATGCAGTGGATGCCATAATGGTGATGCACGTATGCTCCTTGATGTTGAACGGCCCAGGATTGAGATGGCGCCAAATCCCTGTCGAAGGCATAGCATAGTGCATCTTCATACTCTCGATGAATTGAAACATAGTGAAGCAAACTGCAGAAACTCACTGCATTACCCAGAATGTAGGATATAATGAGTTGAAATAAGGCCGACACTGTAGCATTCTGGGGTTTCCAAAAATAAATCTCGGATAGAACAGATCCTGAGACAGGTTGAACGTCATTTTGGGTCGATATCGAGAGTATCAGGCTTCGTCCCAACTCACCAAAAGTCGCTAGCCCGGTACCAAGGACCCAAAATCGGAAGGTCAGTGCGGGGAGCTCAGGATTATCCTCATCTGATATGATCTAGAGAAAATTCAACATGTTAAGCCGACCAGTCGTCGGACACTCCTGTTGTTAGACCTACCAAGTTGGTAATGTCTCCTGCCCCGCGGACAACCTGCTCAGACTCTTGAGAGGGGGCTTCTTCTAGACTCTTTGTGCTGTAAACACTGAAGCCCTTCAAGTCTTCCTCCCGATGCTCAAGCACCTTGGATGGCTCCATAAGATGAGAATGGGCCGTGACTCGCGCAGAGATTGTATAGGCAGGTGGGCTTCCGATGTTCCCTTAAATACGTGCATCTCGGGTGAAAGGAGAAGATATGATACTCAGATGGGGTAACTCTGCTTGAGAAACGCAGACTCCCGTTGATAAGCAGGGTCAGACCGATTGCCGCTGGCAGGTGACGCATTCTACTAATATCCGGGAGCCCAAACAGAGTGTCACTACCAATACGTGGATCCTATGTATGACCTGGCAGTGGGTTAGGTTGCGAAAGCTTCAAGGATACAGCTGACAACACTTACTGCTTGCCAAGCTATGACTCTGGACTGACAGTCCATACTATTGAACGTTCTGGCTAATGATTGATGAATTTCATAATATTTTGAGTTTAAGTTTCAATTGGTCGATACTCGAGTATACCGTACTACGTGCTACGTAGTAATACATAGTACTAAGGTTGGTATCTCACCCATGCGGTCTCACGATTTCCATGTGTTCGCGACGGTCAGGGCTGCGCGGTTGTATATTAATATACCAACTTATCTCAATTTAATCTTAGATGTAGTATCTACACATGGCGCGTACAGCCTTTGGCCGACCATCGCTGGAAAAGTCGAGGTATTCGTAGTTTAGTATGCGTAGTACCAACATATTCGCCATATTCATTTGCCAGCCCTGTCTAATTACATAAGCTTGACTTAACGTACACGTGCCTGAGTTACTTACTGGTCAGCCAATTATCGGGTATGGCCGTAGACCAACTGGCGTAACGAGTGTCGACGACGGCGATTGCTCTTTCGTCGGACATAAGTGACCAGAACCAAAGTTTTGAAATTGACAAAGTTCCTTATTCCTACAATCGTACATCTGAACCGAGCCTTGGGCCAATGCTAAAATATCGCCATATTTCTACCGCTCTCTCACCTCAGCCATCTCTAACACTGCTTCGAGTACGTACCAGAGTACTTCGACCCAGAGCCTTCGTCCATCTTACCAACATTGTCACGGCTGTGTTTTCCAAGTAAGGTGAGGGCATTTGTCGGGGAGTCTTGTTTAATGATGTCTTGGGTAATCTCGATCTGAACAATCATCATTCATGTCAGCTCTTGCTCTAGCTAAAGTATTCAACGTTTCTTACGATATCTCCCAACAGGCGCTCCACCAGCTAGATGATAGCCTCAATAAAGCTTGACAAGAAAATTAGGATAAGAATGCTCACCGCTTCAGTCGCGTTCTCCCTGATGACGACCCGAAGGATTTCAACTTTGTCCAAGTCAGGGGCAAGTTCGTAGTTCGGGACAATCCACCCTTTAGTTCGCAAAAGAATCTGAATCCATTTCTGTTGGATTTCAGGGTACGACTCTTGGAAGCTGTCGGAGAACCGGAATGCGACAACCGGAAGACCGTCTTCATAGTTCTGCGGAACGTCAGAAAGCGTTGCTATCCAGTGGTAGAATGCTAACCTCCGAGTTTTCTTCGTCGAAGTCGGTAGTCCCATGGTTATTCTCCTGAAGAATATTTTTGGCTTTTGGCCGGTGTATATCGCTAAGAACTGTGTACCAGCCAGACTTATCGAGAGCACGACTCAAGAGCCTTGCATTTTTGAGGTCATCCTTAGCTACTGCACGGTATCCCTCAAACCCAAGGTGCACAAAGTTGAAGTATTGAGCGATGATGGGTGCGGCAGGACGGGAGAAGTTGAGCGAGAACGAGTACTCGACTGAACCAAGGTAATGCAACTCAAAGATGAGGTCCTTCGGAAGGTATGCCTTGGAGCGCCATACCACCCAACCGACACCTACGTAAGCCAGACCATACTTGTGGCCTGAGGTGTTGATAGAGACAACCCGCGGAAGCTTGAAGTCCCAAAGCAGCTTTGGGTGCGCAAAGGGCGCGACGAAGGCACCCGAAGCTCCGTCGACTAAACGGGGAGTCAGTGAATATGAAGGGAACATAATACAAAGATGCATCACCGTGGATGGGGATGCTGATTCCTGTCTTCTGCTCGTATTCGTCGAGAAGGTCAGACATCTCCTTTACTGGTTCATAGTGACCGGTGTAAGTACTACCGAGGATGACATAAACGCCAATGGTATTTTCGTCGACATATTGCATGGCTTTCTGGGGGTCGAGTCTATACTTGCTCTCGACACTAACTGGGACGAGGCGGCATTCAACCTCGAAGTAACGTGCAAACTTTTCAAGAGCGACCTGGGCATTGGCACCCATGACGATGTTGGGGCCAGGCTCATGGATAGACTTGCCCTCAGCCTTGCGACGCTCTTGCCAGAGCCGCTTCATGGCAAGACCCCCCAGCTGTATAGCTTCCGATGAACCAGTAGTAGCGGTCCCAATTGCCTGATGCGCCGAAGGTGCATGCCAAAGATCAGCAAGGATCGAGACACAACGGGTATGAATTTCCTCTGCACGTGATCATGAGTGGAAATTGCCAGAATGGTGACTATTTGTGACATACGCGTCATAGGATACTCATCCTGATCGATCAAGTTTTTGGACATATTTTCCAACATCAACTTGTCCGCAGGCTCTGGCATCCAGGTGTTCACAAAGGACGCAAGACTTTGGAAAAGTGAGAAGACAACAAATAATACGAACTTCAAGAGACTGACTTGAGACTGGGAGATCCATCAAGGGCCAGTTCATCATGGATCAGCTGGTACGCGGTCTGCGCGCTGGTTCCCTTGGAAGGGATATGAAACTTGGGGACAGATGTGATTCCGTACCGCGCTCCATATGGGTGAGATGTAGAATCAGACTCCCTAGAACTAATCAGATGATGATGGTTGGAGTTCTTATCCTGAGGACATTCTATCAGCCAGAATATGATAGAATTCGGTGGCGAACCCCTAACCTTGGACTCGCGGATGAGTTTGCTAGGATTGATGTGCTATGTGGAGCTAAAGCGAAGTGTTCCACGAGCATGGAAAATAAAGACTCACCTTTGAGAGAGACATGGTAAATGATAGATGTGGATAAAGCTAGAGATGGGCGGTCAGTATTTGCGAATGGCAACGATTTTATATGACGTCGGTCCCATTTAAGTGGTAGCGGTGGAATCCAATTCCGACCACATGGTGCAGAGAATGTTCTTTGGAGCGACCCGGACCCACTAAACATTTCCTAGATTTGCTATTCTTAGTGGCCGCAAGATCGGTACCATAATTAGTCTGGCCAGTCCTCCCCGTTTACTGTCCCCATCTCTGCGTGATCATCGTATTCCTGGACTCTGACACGTGTATCGACATCGCGATATCGGTCCAAGTTCCTGTCGCTGTCCTTTCTGCTAGTCTCTTCTCCTCCTGTAATCTCTGTCTCCTCCCCTCCCACAATCATCATCCCTCCTACTGCTCCTCCTTCTCTCAGGTGACCGCAAAGTACTCCTCGAAACAGTCGTGCTCTCATTCCTGCTTTCCTCCCTACTGCTCTCCTGTTTCACAAGCGGGATATACCGCTTCTCATCCCCTCGCCATTTCTGTTTCTTAGTACCGTCATACAGCACATCTTGTTCCTTTGCCCCAATTGCCAAGAGTGCAGGGCGCGATTTCGGTGGGTAAGGCTCCATCAGCCAGCGCATTAATTTTCGCTCTTTTCGAGCTTGTAACAGCCCCGCCGTCCACCCAGCCCATGCTGCGGAACATAGCAGCTCCAATGCGGTGTGGGCATGCGCGTATACTCATCGACGAAAAATTAGCAACGTCTTGCTGGAGGGCATCAGTTTCACTGGGAGGAACGGGAATGCAATCGATCTGGGGCGCCGAGTTCATATCCCCAACCAGCAGCGCACGAAGGGCTTTTTGGTCTTCTGTCTCTTTCACAAGAGCATACTCTTCTACCGTCATATTTCTCTCTTCGTCGCGTTGCCACAGGCAAAGAATTTGACTTCTTTATTGCCGAACTGGATGCCTGACAGCTGGGAGTCAGAGTTGATGATGTCGCGCGTTCCAAGTCCCCCGACACTCCCGTCTGCACCTGTGCTCACTTTTGCAGAGTCAGGGATGAACCGTGTGGTCCACGCACGACATTTCCGTGCTGCCTCCCGCCAGTCAAAATTCGGCTTCAAAAGAATGACAAGTGGATCTGTAGGGACTTTGGTCCTGGGGTTTCTGCCATTTACACTAGTTGATAAAAGTAGCATATGTACCTTTTGTTAGGTATAGAAACGTTGAAAAAAGCGGAGGGAGACGCACCGCTGTACACCAAACTTGTTGAGAGAAGTTATAAGCTTATCCTCGAGACGTTTGTCTTCATCATCGCTTGAGTCTGGCTCATCTTTACGCCCACCATCAGCAAACACGACCTCGCTCTTCTTTTCATCGTCGGAATCCTCTCAAGAGCTAAAAGTATGAGGATGGCCTGTGAGTGGGAAGCCATAAGCAGAGCTTGCGGCACTGACGAGGGAGCGCTGAGAGTTGGAATTTGTCGTTAGCCCTATCGTCGTCGGCTGCTGGGGGTTTGCGGACAATTTCGACATGTGGCATACTCGAATTAATTGCTTACAAACACGACCAAATCCAATAAACGCGTCGCGACTCACGCGCACGTCCGGGACGGCGAGTCTGACGGACTCTAACCCTGGAATTTGAACGTTGAACATTCAACATGGCAACCCTCGATTCAATGTGGGTAACATTTTTACATATACATGGACCATCAGAGGTCTCATTTATCTGCACAGACCAACTCCATCATGTCCACTTGTCCGATCGACAAGCACCGTTGTTCCTTCAACTGAGACGACACCGTCTTTCTTGATAGACCCAAAGAACAAGTCTTACAAGCACCAATATGCAAACATATACTTTACACGTCTGACAATGCTAAGAAGTGCAGTGGAGGAGCGGGCAAGAGCTAGGTGGGATGGACTACAAAGTACGTGACAAGAACCTTCCATTCTTTTTGAATGCTCACAGCAGGTACGATTAGGCGAACCGCTCCACGTAGCGCGTGTCCTTGATATTGTTAAATCTCAACTATGCTGGGTAATAGGTACAGTCTACATGGATATGCCACTCAAGCCGAATGTTCTGGAAGACATTGGCCGAGATGTGAGTAACTTGCACACAAAACCGGCCATTCTCAGTTGATATGTGTAAAGCATTCCATCCCGGCTCCACCTCCACGTGAGAAATTCTACTGCGATGAAGACAGCGTTATGTTGGAGGATGAGTCGGGTCGTATTAAATTAGTCGGCAACCGTGTCAGTGAGGAACGCTTGGTCACAGGCGTCATCGTCGCCGCTCTGGGCATGGAAACGCCCACAGGAGATTTCGAAGTTGTAGATATGTGCACTGCGGGACTTGCAACATTTGCGGAGGAAGAAATTCTTGGCTCGGACGCCATGGATGTGGATGTAGAGTAAGTTTATTGCTTTCCAGATATACAACTGAAGCCCAAGACGCTTTATGACCCAGCTTTTCATCCACACGAGATGAGTATGTGGCCGTCATTTCGGGACTATCCATTGGGTCACCCTCACCTGCGGATGCGCAAATCCAAATGCTTGTGGAGTACCTCACGGGAGAAGCAGGCGGTCCTGAGGACCAACAACTGGCATCACAGATAACACGGCTCATTATCGCCGGAAATTCGCTATCACTTGAGGAATATATGGAAGAGGGTGAAGAGGATAAGAGACCAGTAAGTTAAGGTCCCTTCTTTGTAATGGGAAATGACTCAGTGAATACCAGAGAAAATTCGGCGCATCAGCACAGGCGAACTTTTCTCCTCATCCGAATCTTGCTCTTTCCGCTCATCTTCATGATTTAATTTCCGCACTTCCCGTCCACATATTGCCTGGAGAAGATGATCCTTCCGGAATCATTCTTCCACAGCAGCCTTTCCCCCGTGCGATGTTCGGAAAGGCTGCAACCTTCGAGTCATTCTATTGCGAATCAAATCCGGCCTGGCTTCGCGTAAGATGTGATGAAACCGAGTCATCGATACGGAATGAAAGGCGAACTTCGTCTTCTAAATCAAATCATCCGCCTGTCACTCGCAGCCTATTGGTGACCTCAGGACAGCCTGTTCTCGACATGTACAAATATCTTCCAACCCCGCCCTCGAGCCTCGTGTCGATTGCTGCTTCAACCCTAAGATGGCGCCACGTCGCTCCAACTGCTCCAGACACACTATGGTGTCACCCTTATCGAGACCGAGACCCTTTTGTTTTGCGGAAAACTCCGGATATATACCTTGTTGGCGGAATGCCCAAATTTGGTACAAAGCTTGTAGGTTCAGAAGATGGATCGGGCAGGGCAGGGAGATGTTGCAGAATTGTTCTAGTGCCTAGCTTCTCGCAGACGGGCATTCTAGTGCTTGTCAATCTGCGGACTTTGGAAGTGCAGTGCGTGGATTTTGGGGTCGAGGGATTGAGTGCGGGTGGCGGAGAGCAGCGGTCTTCAGGAGATGATGGAGATGCCATGGCAGAAGGCTAACAAAATTTTATTGATTTTCTTCTTCTTTCGGTCAACATCAAATCGCAATTTAGGCTGGAGATTCCTCGGGCCCCTCTTTCCCCTGAAGTCTTCACGAGCAGTTGTCGGTTTAATTTTGTGCCACATCTGGTTGAAGCCTATCAGCATCTTCTGATTCATGGAATTTAGATTGATTTGGCAGGTGTAGTGTTCAGGGTCACGTGGATAATAGTCCATCATCAGTTGTGAGTGTGAAAGGCTGTCAAAGGTTGTCCTTTTCTTCATCCCCATTTGTTGCTGAAGAAGCCGCTGTCAAGTACTATGACAGAACAAAACAAAAAACCAAAAGGCTTTTTATTTATTCCGGGGCTCACTTCAGCTCTCCTTAGCCTCGCCTACCATTCCCTTCTCAAAGTGCATTCAAGGATTCTTTAATCATTAATCCAACGGCCTCGGAGGAACGTTTAAAAATTCATATCGGATGGGGCACTTCCCTTTTATGACGCTTGTGGACAAATGCCATTATGCTGGACTGCATTTGTTTGTTGTCTATAGTGGGCGCAGGTTGCCAAGGAGTGAATACCACACGCTCGACATAATTAGGCAAACCACTGATGCTTATCTGGGACGGTCTTCCTATTGATCATTTGATTTCCGATTGTCAGGATTGTGACTCCAGCTCTCCGAAAAATATTCCTTTCTAGACTTGTGGGCGTGTGGCATGTCCGCTTGAATCTTTAGGGTGGCGTTCATGCCACAGCTTCTCACTTTGACCTTGCTTTGACTTATCATCACACATACATAAGGTGCGTTGCTCCAACTCAGATCGACCTCATTCCTCTCTCACCTTCTCTCCTGTCTTAGACTTACTTCTACTCACTTACGTACGCGCGTTATAATCCGGACGTCCATCAAGATACTCGTCGAGGCTCTGGGCCGATATGCCCATCCTCGTAACGTCCATGCGCGCCGACACCGAGGTTCGTGAACGTCGAGCGCGCATGAGCCCGGTAGCGCTGCAAGAGCAGCAATCTTGGCGCTACCGTGCGCACGGGTGCTGAAGCCGTGCATCGCTGCAATACGGTGGAGGTTCGAGGAGCCCGATGAAAAAAGCGCCACTCCCCTCTGGACCGTGTCGAACACCATGGACGAGACTCTGGACCCCGCTTGATTGAGCTTACACTGTGCGACACGCAGTCAGCGATTGTCACGATAGTCTCCGGCCCCAATATCTTTTCTTTCCTCCCTGTATTATTTGCTATGTAATCTTCATACACAAGAGTACTGAGGGCGGTAGCTTTTCCCCAATGGGGTTTTTAATGCACCCGTTCCGATGATGCACTCTTTGTGTCAACTCGGGAAAAAATAATCAAACAATCTTCGTGCCATCATTTCTTGTGATGACGATGAGTGAAAGTCTAATTGGCTCTGAGCAACGCATCGCTGATTTTTCGACTCTGGCTCTATAATGTAATGTAAGTACGTGCAAGTTGTTGAGCATTCGGTGCTCAGTACTCAGTACCGGGCCAGTGCGAGCAACGTTGCAACGAGGACTATCTGAGATCCTGAATTCATCCGTCACCATGCTTAAAGGTCAAGTTGAGTCGGTATAGAAATTTGAAGTCATAAAATGCCAACTAAAAATATGATAAGGAATATTTTTGGTATTTACACTGAGAAACACGTCTGGTATCATGTCCTTAAGGTAAACCTCCTGTAGCGTCATCATGTATTTACAGTACAGTACGCCAAGAAACACACGAAACAATAGAATATCACTGATTGGACGAACGCTCGAGTCTTTGTCTGGTGGGCGAGAACAGCCCTCCAACGACGCTTGACATCGTGTCCGTGATTTGCCGCTGTTGCGGCTGCGTGTGCTTGACAAAAAAGAGTTGCACGTTGGTGGAATTCCATATCCCGAGAGGTGACATCCCATGCACATAAACCCCTCCCCATATGAGCGACGTCAACCAGACAATTGATGCATCCGACCACTAATCGCTGGCTGAGTATCTTCCGCAATTCATGCGAAAAAACATACCACAAATCGTCTCGGATATAACACCGGTGCAGGAGGCAGAACATCAGTCAATGTCACACTTTGCAAGAAATCAGTTATAGCGCCAGCTGAGTTAGCCTTCTGCCTGCCAGCCTGCAGATTCTGGATCTTTGGCAAGAGCTCCGATATGACCAGCATCACAGTATCCAAGGGTAACCTGTCAACATTTAGGAGACACTCGAACACCAGCGAGCAAGTGCTTACCCTTGTTGCCAAGACGTGACCTAGTTTCATGGAAGTTAGAGACAGATAATGTTTTGTTAGTGCGAAATGGGGCTCACCCATTCTTGGGTGGGTAAAAACCCATTCCTACCAATGCCAGCCGCAGCCATACGATCTCCATTAATTGTATCCGACGACAATGACCGCCGAGCCTTCATCTTGCCTCTTGCCTTTTCCGACGCAGCTGTTATAGTACTGGTACTTGTTGTGGGGCTGTTCTCCGAAGGTAGAGACGTGAGTGGGCGGGTCTCGGTTTGCTCATGGCCACCCAGGCCAGCTTCAAGGTCCTCACCAGAAAACGAAGTAGACTCTATGGTGAAGGCAGGATCACTTTCGTTCCTGAGAAGGCGCGATTTTTCCTGGTGTGCACTCTCCACGGACACACGCTCCTGCTGTGGGCCATCCTTTCTGTCGTGTTCCGCCTGGCTCGCTTGCTCTTCCTTGATCCGTTGTACACGCTGAATCTCTCGAAGTCCGCGGGTAAGAGTGAATGTCCCTAGCTCTTCGAAAGTTTTTTGTGCGGTGATGATTGCATACAGAAGATTCGGGTTATCGGAAAGGTGGTGGAATACTACTGAGTTGAAGACCTCGAGCCTTGGGAACAAGTAAGCGTCATGCTACTCCCATATGACAACTACTCACATAAGAAATAGAAGTCTTGGGTGGCTCTCGTCGGATAAGAGGAATAGAGGGTTCGAGAATGAAGTGAAGAGCTGAAGCAAACGATTAGATGCAATAACAGACAGGTTTTTAAAATATGGAGCCGCATTCGCGAGCGCGATGATAAGTGCCGGGTATATGGAATTGAGGGAGCCTGAAGTAGTTGCAATGATAGAGTAAACTGACTACGAAGGGTTAATGTCCACAAATGTAAAAGTCACTTATTCACTCACAGTAATCATGAAATCTCCAGCAGTCCCATGAGATGCCCCCTGAGATACCCATTTTGTCGGTACCTGAATATTTATCGGTGATGAGAGCTTGTTGCCGAATGCGGACTCAGCCGATAGCGTCTGAATAATGTATGAGAGCGCTCTGCAAAGACCGTGTTGCTCTAGAAATCCATTAAAATATATACCCACTGGATAGATAACTACAGGAGACGTACGTGGCTTGTCTTTGATCTCGAGTGAATAGCACAGAAGATATGCAAGGACATCAACTGATTTATTTGAGTCCAGTAGGTAAGCGCGGAATTTCTTAGAGAAAGGGTCAGACGTCAGATCGGCACGACCTGGTAGACAACCTACTTACCTTGTTGAGCTCAATGATCTTCCAAAACAAAACAACTGTACGGGATCAGAAGAGTGGGGCGAATATAAAAGACATGCGTACTAGTCTCAGGCACGTAAGGAACCGACCTCCTGGACCCAGGGAGTAGATTGTTTGATATAGCTAGCTGCTGCTCTAGAATGGCAATGATGCCACTCAAGATAAAAGCGAAATCCTGCGTGCGATGCTATACGCCATGAACAATAGTAATCTCAGACGAGGAAGACAAATTTACCAATTTTGCCAAAAAATAGCGGAAAGCATTTGTTTGTGCAGTCGGGGATGATGAGGTAGTATCACCAGAATCTGAAACAATGTCTCTGGCTGGACCACTCTGAAATCCAATAAAACACATAAAACTTGTAGGCACATGCCCACAAGTGCTGTCCTAGAATCTTCGCCTTTGAAGACTAAGTGATTGTAAGGGACCTTGCCGGCTACACTGGCGATGGTCATGTTGTTAGTTGTAGGAGAGTTCATCACGGTGTTTAGCAAGGAGCAAAGTAATGTCAAGACGTCGCGTCGGGGCGTCTTTCGGACTACATGCAGAGTGTAAAATGACGGATGTGTGAAGAGAGCGGCAGGCGGAATGTATATCTGACGTGACAGAAGGACAAGGAGGAGCCGTAAAACCTCAGTTTTGTTGGAGTCGTATGCATGATTTGGTCCAGAGTCAGTCGTCGAGCCTACACCCTTCTCCCTAGGGAATTGTAAGTCAGGCATTTGTTTTTAGACCAACAATGCATACCATATAACATAATTAATCTTGTAATGATCCACTTGTATCTTCGTTGGGAGACTAAAACCGCAACAAAACAAGAGATCGTTAACGCAAGTGAATAGCTTTTCTCCTAACGAAGGCAAGGTTTTCGTCCGTTTCAGTTGAGGGATCTGTGATTGCGTGTTAGAGCCATGACCACTCTCACTCCCATCATCATCATCTTCGATGACAAACTGTGGTGCCTGTTCCGGAGCTGTGGGTACAATTTCGTCTTCGTCGACTTGAACCTTCTTCCACAGCACCTCGAGCTCAAATGAGTTGGACTCTCCCTCAACCTCAAACACAACAGGTAGCACCCTTTGCAGGACTCGCAGACTGTTCAGGACCTCCTTCGTTGCGTTACGCTCTGTGCTCGAGGTCTTCATGAAGGAAGTGGCATACGATGCCACAGATGTCGGTGGTATGGATGGGAAGGTATGGTCAGACACAAGATTGAACAGACGAGACGTCACAACTCTGATGAGAGTCGCTACGTTTTCTGGCGAGTCAAGTAGAGCTCTACGAACTTGGGAGGTCTCATTAGCCGCCCGCACTAAGAACCAAATGCTGGGACATACTGTCATGGGTTGATATGAGGGAGAATACATCAGACGGAGTGTCAAAGAGGGTGAAATACTGAGATATACTATTCAATCGAACATTTGGACAACAAACTAAGTATCACCGACCTGGTCCCAGTAGCTGTCAGTTTCGGCTATGTGCTGTAGTTGACAACTTGTCATTATAGTCAACGCCGAGATGGAAGCGGGTACCACAAACTCACCCTCGTTGTATACAGTTGAGATATTCCCTGGGGGCGACTGCGAAACGCCAGCTTCGCTTCGTCGGTCAATAGTCCAAAAGGTGCCGTTAGTGTCTGTGGAAGTTTGGCGAACATTGTCGTATGGCAATCGTCAGAACGATATGCAGGAAGTGGGATGTCAAAGCCCTGTGTACCGCCTTGAGTGTGCCTGCAGTGCCAGGGTCACTTTCCGAGTCGGTGCCTTGTACAATATTTGTGGACCGCAGTGATGTCGGATGCTTCCGAACTTCCGCATTGCTTCCGCAGTTTCTGCTCTCCAGACACCTACCACACATTGAAACGAAGATGTTCGTTCCTTCTTTGCTATGTGCTAGCAGGTCTTCTCCAAATTGGTATGTCAACTAGCAACTACAGACCTTCCTGCAGCCAAGTCTTTGTAGCGACCCAGAAATTTCCTCCGTATACGACAACATAGACATAGCCATTGCAGACTGCAGTGGCAGGTCCTCTTACTACTCTAAGGGCATTCCTTCGCTGTTGCCGTCTGGCAACGTGGTACTTGTTTTTGTACTCGATTCCCATGCAGAGATCGAGACGACGACCCAGGCCTCGCCCAATGCCCATACGAAATGATTGCCTAGACTGCACATGAGGTGGATTCAATCACTACAATACAAGAGATGCACCAAACACCCAAGCAGCTTTGTCACTGATAGGTGTGTTCAGGGAACCAAAATCTTGGCGATGGCCAAGTCTTGCCCTCCAAATCATGGTTCTCGTTATTCAGTTGCGTGTCATATTTTCAAAAAAATTGTTCTATTGAGAGTATATATACTCTATGGTGGGCAGTACCAGTAAGTTTTGGTCTAAACCCCAGTGCCCTGGATGCGAATGACTTAATTGTTGGAAAGTCATTCAAATGTTTTAAAAGACCTGACGAAGAACATGACACGAACATCATTCTACATACTGCACGTTCAAGAGTTCGATGTCGGCGTGACGTTCAAACTGCATTCTCCACAGTTTTATATCTGCAGATTCTGAGTGTTTTCGTTCAAAGAGTATCATTTACTATGCCGCCACACTCGCCAGCGTTACATACGAAGGACCCATTGCAGTGTCATCTACCATGCATGAATGGACGATGGACAATCTTCAGTCACCTGCTGATAACATACAGCTTCAGCATTGTGTAGATATTCGCATGTAGAATTGTAATACCCGGGACGTCCGGGAACCACTGCCGTAGCCGTCTTGAGTCACACGCACGGTGACGGATGACATCTGCCTCTTCATGACATTCCAGCATCTAATTTACAGGACTGGTTAACAAAAAAAATATCCATGTACGTGCAGGGTTTGGATTGATTGATTCAGATGATCAGTTTCTTTCAGTGATCACGATCAAGTTTTACATCGTGCGCATTCATGGAGACCCAGACTTCATATCTACGTCTCCTAGCTGCTGGCTCCAACGCTCGCGGTCAGCTAGCCAATGGTTCCGATTACGATTCACATACTTTCAAAGAGTGCCGCTTCATAAACTGCGCACAGGGTACGCTTCCTCCCAATGCGCTCGGCATCTTGCAGCTTGCGACTGGAGCAAACCACACTCTCGCATTGTTGGAGTTTGGTGACGGCGGAAGGGAGCTTTGGGGGTGTGGAGATGGACGTAAAGGGCAGCTGGGTCCTGAATACATGGGACAGTTGACAGAATTCACGCCGATCAGCATACCCTTGTACCAAACTTATGCTTCCCAAGGATATGCCTGCTGTCTCATCGCTGCCGCTTGGGAGACTTCATATCTTGTTTTGAAATCTCCTTCCCGATCAGACGTGGTCATCTCGATGGGTTCGAATGACTTTGGGACACTCGGTGTGGGCACAAAACAAGCTACGGCAACTCCGACGGTTGTTTCATTTGATCACCTCACTATCGAGGGACGTTCTACCAATTCCAATAAGCTCGTTGTCGAGTCCATTGTTGCAGGACCTCGTCATGTCATACTTCATGTACGAGCCGGTCTCAATAATGAAGATACGCTCATTGGCTGGGGTTTGGCCAGACATGGCCAACTAGGGGATACGAAGATCGTAAACTATGACCGCCCTTACATCATTTCCCTTGATGTATCTTCAGATCCGGTGCAAGCATATTCTCTCGGTCTCCAACATACCATCGTCTGCCACCAATCGGGGCGGACAACAGCCTTTGGATCTAACAAGAAAGGACAACTCCATAGGATGGATTCTTGGAGGCGTGTTCGACAAGTTGGATGCACGTGGAATGGTACATATCTTCTCAGAGACGATGATGAAAATACCCTTATATCAACGGGAAGTAATGCCCATGGTCAACTAGGTCGGGAGTCGCAAGTCGAGGAGAATGGGGTTACCGTCGGGCCTGTCGAATTTACCTTATCTCACGATGGCAAATTGCCTTCACTGAGATCCCTTGCTTGTGGCAGCGAACATGTGATGGCAGTGATCTCTCCCTTTGGCTCATCAGACATGGAAGTTTGGGGTTGGGGGTGGAACGAGCATGGTAACTTGGGGCTGGACCATATGGATGATGTGTTGAAGCCCATCAAGATCTGGCCAGCAAGAGGACACGCACTGGAGGGAAGAATTGCTCGAGTATGGGCTGGAAATGGGACTAGTTGGATATTGTTACAAACGCAACGATGAAGCTTTGAAGTGCGATCTCATGAATGTGTGTTCCTACGTACAGTACTGACTCTAAGTGTATTCCCCACCACTTCTCTGTTGCCTCGTCAAGTTCCACCAATCGCCGATCCTCACGTAAAGATAACCATCGGGATGACTCGTCAATAACTTTCCATCAAAATCCCGAAGAAGAATATCATCTCGACCGTGTCCTCCAGACAATGCAACACATGTGCTGAACGGAGCAAGTTCTCCACTGCAAAGTTGAACTTTCAGAACACTATCCTCCCCGGGGCCTAGCCTACGGGATTAACACGCGCTTTCAGGCAGTGAGGAGGAGATGGGACTCAGATTTGTGTCAAGTACAAGGCAAAAGCTGCTGCTAATGCTGTTCCCAGTGCGCATCTGGAGGGGACCTCAGAGGAAGCCTGTGCTTGGAACCAAACTATATACGTTTTGAGACCTGGAATTCGCCTGGAATGTAATTGTTATGCAGTTCTCTGTCGATATCTGCATTATTGAGGCAGGAGTCATTGCGCCTTACGCCTTCGGTCTTAGTCCTAGAGTCTCGTCTAGAATCGGTACATTAGTAAAGAGAATGGTTGACACTTACTCACTGCTTGAGATGATCAAATACGGATGTCGATGGCACATCGTGTCGGTGAGTGAAACTCGACACGTTTAACGTTGAACTTGACGAATAGTGGGGATATGCGCAGCGCACGCTTTATACATCTTCAGATGAGTGAGCCAACCTGTGCATTGCTAAAGTAGCATCTGATCCAATCACACATCTCTAGGACGACATGTCACTAACACACTCCCATATGCCTCGCAGATTCTCTTTCCACAATGTGACTTTCCCGTCGCCACAACTAACAGCAAGAATGTTTCCAGCAAGACTCCATGATACGCGCCATACGACATCAGGGAATTTGCCTGCAGCTGCCGCACTAGGTGCTCCTGAAGCAGTCGAAGGATCAAGGGCAGTCTTCACCCATGGAGAAGTTAACGAGTCTTTTGTCCAGATCAACACTGTCTTATCCTTGAAATCAAGATATCTTCAGACAAAAAATACAGGAAAAAAGTACTTTGTAGCGAACCTGAGATGCTGTCGCAATATAACTCCTTGGCAGACCGATATTGGGTGCCCATGCAACATCACGCACCCAATCTGTGTGTCCATCAAGTGTCTCTTCCTCCACCCACGACTGCGTATCTTCACGGTAGCCCCAGATCTTGACAAGATTGTCACAACCAGCGCTAGCAAAACGTTTGAAGGGTGCAGAAGGCTGCGCGCCAGGTTGTTGCGGGTGAATGAGCGATCCGGGCTGTGTCGCGGGCGCCCAAGACACAGAGTTGCAACCGATGGCATGACCATTGAAGATGTCAGCACCCCACTGACCGTCATCTGTTACCAAATGTTCGTCAGAGATGTCAGCTGTGAATAAAAGAGTGCACACCTTTGAAGGTGAGTACAGAAAGCTTTCCATCTGACGACGCGCAAGCCAACATTGCACCAAGCTCATGAGGAGCCCACGACACGGAGTTCACTGAAGCGGCATGTAACGTGTGCTCCTTCACCCTTGTCCACCCACCATCGGCCGTGCCTTGAGACCGTTCCCCCCATATCAATACTTTGCCATCGTATGAGCAGGAAGCAAGTATGTGTCCAAATTTCGGGTGTGCCCAGGCAACCTGCCACACTGGACCCGTGTGCCTGTCAGGAAGGATGCAGAATTATGAGAGTTTATTCAACATGTACATCAAACCACGAACCCCTTTAGAGTATGGCCACTAGATTTCAATGGTTCCCCACCAATAACGTCAAAGACCTTGACCGTTCTATCTGAAGAACACGTCGCTAAACGCTTGCCATAGTAGTCAAGTTGCGCATCATGCTAGGGTTGAATTTTTGAGTACAGGTTCAGGATGCGACGATGATATTGTTGCATACAATCATGTCTTCATGAGCGGTTTCAATTGGAACTGCTTCGGTCGTGGTCGCAGACGGCATGTTTGCTCGATACTGCAGATGATTTTGGAGTCTGGACAATGGGGACGTGTCGTGACAGCAGCTAATCTGAGTTTGAAACCATCACAACTGTACCAAACCACTATGTATTATAATGTAACTTATGACCTCGAGGTCAACTCTTATACGCAATCGACAAATGATATGACCTGCACACTTTCAGACTGACAACATAGAGAGATGGATTCCATCTCATTATCATCGTTATCCAGTCTCACCACACACCAAAAGTCTTCTCTTGAAAAAGGTGCGTCTTCAATGATCATTGCATGTGCGTTGGATATACAAATGAATGCAAACCTGATAGGAGGATACAAAAATTTATCAGACCTCTTACTCAGTACGTCAAGTGATATCTCGCGCACGACGCGCATTGCTCCATTAGAGGTCACCAGAATTCTCGAGGCTGCATGTCGAGAACACGCAGTGCCCATCAACAAAATTAAAGACTTGCCGATGGAAGGCGAAGAGAAGTTCACCACTGGAGATGCTGAATTAGATAGTACCTTGGGTGGTGGAATTAGAACGGGAATGCTCTGGGAAATTGTAGGTGAAAGGTGAATGCATTGGATTGCTTATTAGCACAGAAAATTGATATACTTTTTAGTGCTGCGGGCAAGACACAGTTAGCCCTTCAACTCTCGCTGTTTGTTCAGCTCCCTTCTAGGTTAGGAGGCGTTCTAGGTTCCGCTTTTTATCTGACGGTTGCGTCGCAACTGCAAACTACACGAATGGAACAAATACTCAATACCCATCCACTCTTGTCGCCTCCACTGTGTTCTTTCGCAAATATACAGCACGCATCCGTTCCAACTATCGACAAACTCATTTTTGTCCTGTCTAAATCTTTGCCGCAATATATATCTGCAAATAACCAAAATTCATCATCAAGACCTCTCAAGCTGATTGTCATCGACGCTATCGCTGAACTTTTTCACACTTCCAAGAGGACCACCACACAGTTCCTAGTCGAGCGGTCTCGCAGACTATCTGAAATAGGGATGCTTTTGCATTCGCTCGCCAGCAAGCATCAAATAGCGGTCCTGGTCCTGAATGAGGTCAGCGATACTATCGACAGGGATACTGCTCCTTTGGACAGTGGGCAGATCGGCTACAAGGATCAGTTTCGGTGGTTCGGTCGTGCAGATAGTGTCCTAGGGGAGGATAGGAAAGAAGCAACGCTCGGTCTAGTCTGGTCGAATCAGTTGAATGTCAGAATATTTCTCTCGCGAACAGGTCGCCGTCGATATCTTGAAGAGAGCGAGCAGTCAAGGAAAATTCAGAAGTCGGTCTCAGCGACGTCGTCCAATATTTCAGCTGGCGATCAAGAACCCGTGCTTATTAGGCGCCTAACCGTGGTGTTCAGCTCGGTGTGCGACCATGCTTCTTGTGACTATGTGGTTACTGCGGAAGGCATTTCAGTTATTCCTGGCTCTGCTGTTCTGCTTACTGCTCGACCTGCAGTAAGCACAGCTACACCTCCAGGGACCACCCATGATTCGATGTCACCTCACGGGGACTTCACTCAAATGCAAAAGGCTCAATTAGCGCCGTTGGATATCGGCCATATTATGGATAGCACAGCCATTGACAGTAGATATTCCACACCAGACAACGAGCCAGGGGATGACGAATGGGACGCTTTTTGGGAGCGAAATGCGTTACCGGAGTGTGTGTTTGAGGAAGCAGCGAATTTGACTGAATCCTCGTGATACCTAACGTTGTCTGTAACAACCGACCGTTTGTGAATACGCTGTTTTTATTAGCCAGTGCGACATATACATATATGTAAAATTCCATACTCATACAAAGCTGTCCCCAACATTGGCAATACAAGTACAAAACCAACATGTCTGTCTACAGAGGAATCTCGGTCCACCTTTCGTGGGTGTGTCCCTCCTTCATGTGTTCTGCCTTCTTGCTGGAGGACTTAGGGTACGCATTCTCCAACTCCGGGTCCAGCGGGTGTTGGAAGGCAGTGAAATGTGAACTTGCTGCTTTAGTGATCGGATACCGAGGCGAGACCTTAGTGATACCGGGGTGTTTATCCCGGGATGCTAATACGAGACCAACCAAACCTGAACGATAGTAAGCGACTGGGTTGGAACAACATGATTCGCTGAACATACCAAAGATAGAAGCCATATAGAAAACAGCCAGGAGAACATTAGCCATTGTGCAGTCACCAGACTGAGAAAGGTCATGACAAAGGGCGGTCGCGTGATTCTGACGTGCATGGATTGTTAAAAGGACACAAGATGCTGGTAGTATGTCAGAATAATGGTAGGTACGAGCAGCAAAGTCGTGTCACGTACTGACATCCGAAAGCCACAAAGCGCCAAAGGTAGCAATATTTCTAGTGTTGCTAGATTCTGCATGTCGCCTGCAACACAAGAATGAAAAACTACTCGAGCCGTCAGCCTTTCACATTTACAGTGTGCCATGGTGAACTCACGTAATGAGGAATATCAACAGAGCTACGATGTTTGACGCAAGAGCAACAGCCTCCAAAGCTGAAACAAACTGGTGTGAATGAAGGCTAAACCTAGGTGTGAAGCACTTACGTCTTGCGGTGTGCGCAACAATATCCGGACTTAGAATCACAATCGATATGACATTGCAGATACCAATAACGACTTGAAAGAAGTAGATGAGCAAATGCATCGTACGAGAAGAACAGAGCATGATGGCGTACGGAGTAAGAGTCTACAGGCAAGAGTGAATGGGAAAGGCATGGTGTCACAGACAACCGATGTAGATGGGGCGATGCAATGAAAGTGATGATGCACAAGAAGATCGAGCCTGCGGAGGAACGTTGTGTGATGTGCATTTGCCATGTGCTGAGGTTTTATATCGGGCCAGCTTGCCACAACTGAACTGTGGTCTCGTCGAGTGGCAAAAGATAAAAGCGGCCTGTGGAGGAAAGAAGCGAAAGTCAATGCAAGGATATAATATCACCATTGTTCTCAGAGGTGTGGTCAATAGGACACGAAAGTTGCTTTTCTGTGTGGACCAACCTGCGGTGCATGGACCACCTTGCAGGCCTGGTTGATAATGCTCGGAGAAGATCACATGAGTTTAATTACATACGGTGAAACACGTACCCGTGTTAAAATGATCAAGGGTGCTTTGCTATACCACTCAGAAACGTCACAAAGAGGCCAATACACCCGGACATCGACATATCAAAATCCGGTACTCCTCGCGCACACAGTTAGGAGGGAAGTCGGAGTCTAGTAAAGTTAATAGCACAAGTGCTGCCATTTGCCCAGATTATAATATCATTCCGGCATTACTACTTACCATGAAACTTGAAACGCCGAATAACATCAGTATTCGCTGTTCCCCGAACGGAAGGACACTGTCTGTTCAATACCTGAATGTACGTTTGTCGTGCTGCACACTGGCACTAGCACTTAGACCACGGGTAACTGTTTGGCAGGGTCGACGCCGAATCCAAGTCTGCGACAAGTTGGAGGCTTTCGCGGGCCCACGCCAGCCGAGCACGGGTCACTTATGAATTTCTGGCTCTGCAGGGTTCCGGGCCATGAGCGAAATGCATTTTGCATGTGGTAGCAATGCACCACTACGTGCGCATTCTGTGAATGTGACCTGCTGGTTGTCTGTGGTTTTTTAGTGATGGTTCAAGTTAACGCTAGCGCTGACCATCTAGGTCAAGTTCTATAAACATCCGAGTACAAATAATATATATAGAACTTGCACTGAAAGCGCAACTCATCTTCGCCGGCTTCGAAAGTTACTCACGACACCAATCTTAATGACCTCACCAAGGCCAGCAGCCTGAAGAGCACCTTACAGCTTATGGAAGATGCTAGAATGAATGAAATATAATTATCCATGTACAGGTGCCATCAATTCAATTTGAGACACCAAAGGCAACCGAGCCAAAAGTAACAACTAGAGTACAGACTATGAGCAAAGCGGGCATAGGAAAAGGGTATGGAGATGAAGACGTTGATAAAACTTTCGAGACAAGACCAGACGCCTCCTGCCCAGGACGATCTATGGCTCTCCGGGGGCACCAACTACGACTGAACATGTGCCGTCGAATGCGTGCTTATAGTTCAATCCACCCCTCCTGCCCAAACGTATTCTCGCCCGAATAACTGACATAAAGGAAATTATCCTCATCCCTAGAAAACAATGAGATCCGACTTGGTAGCATTTTGGGGTGCGCTCACTTGTGCTCCTCATAAATAGCACTCATAAGAGCTGCCGTCGGTGGGAGAACCTCGTCAACGAAGATAAAGATGGCCTTCTCTGGTGCAAGCTTGATGCGCTTCCGGATGACGTAGACGAATTGCCCGACTGTCAAATCCTGTGCGGAGCAAATGTATAAAATCGATGATCAGCTATCCATCGGCACTCGTGATAAGCAGCACGATGCGCACTGAAGGTACAAGATACTTCTTCTTGTCGATGGTAGGAATGTCTGTTCGGTCGGCCTTCTCACAAATTACCTAGAGTCGATGCCACTCCTGTCAGGGACACTAAACGTGGTAGGGTATAAGAAGGAAATACTAACAGGAATACGGTCAGGGTACTTCTGTCTGATGCGTTCAGCCTCCTGCTTGCGCTTCTCTGAGAAGGAGAACACGTTAGTAACTCATGACTACATGACGACTGCAATGATAGTACGTACCAAACGGGTGCTCATCCTTGAATTTAGACCTCATGACGAACGTTACAAGCGATGATCGAGTTCAGTAAGTGGGAAGAGTTGACTTCTGAAAGGAAAGAAGGACTTTATCGTGGGTGGTAGTCAGCGTTCAGGATGAAATGAGGACAGCTCGCTGTGCCGCAATATTCAAAGCCTCCTCGCGGCTGTGACGAGTGACAGCCGCGTGACTCAGCTGTGGTGACGAGGCAGCACGCTGACAAATACGACAAATATAATGTATTATAATTACAACGCGGCAGTACACCTCAGTAAGCCCCCGACGTGCCGAAACTACGATACGTATACTTAGTATTGATAATAGTAGCTGACAGTCTGTGTGAGAGAAAAAATCGAAGCTCTGCAAGTAACGTTACAATTAAGCCTCATGGCCATTGGCCATTCCGGCAGCCATGCCCACTGCCATTGCGTTGCCCATCTGCACCCCAGTCCCGTCTGTAGGCACGAAAACAGTCTTGTTGCCAAACGCTTGGACACGCGTGACTTCCACTCTACGCATCTCCATCCCGCGTGCGAATTGGTCGGTGACCTTGGCATCAGCCGCCGCTCTGATACTGACTGCTTGTGCGTCGGCCTCAGCGGTAAGACGGATAGCTTCCGCTTCTGCAAGAGCCTCGATCTTTGTACGCTCAGCTTGGGCTTTGGCAGCGGCAATGACACTATATGCCTCGGAATCGGCTTGCGCCTATTAAAAATGTTTGTTATGAACAGCTTAGAAAATAAATTGGTACCGACATTACGGCTTTGAGCCTTAATGCGAGCAACAGCGAGAGCTCCTTCTTCCTGTTTGACTTTATTCGAGTTTTCTCGGTCGACATTCTGCAGCATATAAATGAAAGGAAGGACTATATCAAAGAGGATGAAACTTACGGCAGCCTCGACTTGCGCCTGTAGCGCCCTTGTTGTAAGCTTGTCCATGGTTGACGCAATTTCTCCCTTGAATTGACGGTCGATCACGGCTAGAGTACGGTCAGCTCCAAATGTTACTGGTATTGAAACATCCCACGCTTACCAAGATCCTTCAAAATGATTCCATACTCGAGTGCGGCCTCGTGCATCTCGTCCATGGCCCTGGTACGAAGAGCGTCAAGGAAAGCAGATGAAGGGTCCGTGCCATCTTCGAGGTTGTCAGGTCCAAGAGAGCGCTGCTTCACCATAGTGCTGTAGTCAACTACAGTGCGTGAGTCAAACTATCACACAAGATTAATCGATGGACATACGATGGGCGACAATCTGTGTGAGGATAGACTGGGTTTTGTCACGGAGCGCATCATAGGGGGTGTTATAGCCATGTGTAGTGAGCTGCAGACGAAGTGAGCAATCGCTGAACGAAAACCAATTTGTCGAAAGGCGCACCTTCAGGGGTTCCATTAATTGCCTAGCAGTTTTATGAATAACTCAAGTCATCAGATGCATCATTCTCACTGCTCACCATTTCAGATAGATCCTCAAGCCGACAGGCACTTGGTCTCTTGTGAAACTGGAAGCCAGCAACGTAAGATAAGGTATCAGTGGCCGAGCGAACTACTTACATATCCTTTGTGGGCATCTCGAGCTGATTCTCGCCGAGCGTAAACAAACCACGCAGTGTGACGTTTGGATTTGTTATATAATGTTGTCCAGCAGGGAGTAACTCAAGATCGTCTCCACGCTGGAGAATGGCACAGTTATTTGCCGGGATGTTCAAGCTATGCACCATAAACAATCAGAACAAGAATATTGGAATAGGGAGCGGATGAACAATAATGCCACAACGTATTCCTGTTCTTTGCCTGAAGCGATGTGACTCCGCATCTTGATTTCGGCAATCCTGATCGAGATTCAAATGAGCATCATGAACAAGATGGGATACAGAGGTACGTACGAGCCAAGGATAGCGCCTGTTACTGGGTCCTTAATCGAAGTAGATAAATGGGTCTGGTCGACGATAGCCAGAACGTCATATGTTCCATCAATTGCGTACGCAACAAAACCTGAGTTTTTAACCACAAAAATGCGATTTTGAGGATCAGAGATGACGGCCGCTTGGTTCTGGGACACCTGAACGACTGTTAAACCCTGAAACTGAATTGCGGTGTCCGAAACTGATGACCTCCTTTCAGTATGACATCGTGTAGAACATCGGGGCACGCACGTCCTTTGGTACCGCACCATTGACGGGCCCACCAATTACGGAGGGGGAATCCAGGGTATCGGCCAGGCTTGGTCAATATCTTGGGGAGACCACCGTGATTGATTAAACCAAGGAAACCTGGAGAAACTTCCCTACCGGTCCACGAGACAGGGACCTAGTAGTGATATTTCGATGTAAGCCGCAAATGTCACGGTGAGAAATCCAAGTTCACCTTGTTTGACAAGAGACCCGTTCGCCCGGACTGTTTTAGGTTAAGGCGGTGAATACCAGAATGATGTAGCAATCAGGGTACTCACGTCTCGAAGTTGCCTGTCAATTCTCTCTAGTGCAGCAATGATGCCGTCCTTAGCGATGGGTACGACAAACGGACGTTCTTCCAAAGCATAGTCTGCGGTTTTGGAGAAGTCATGCAAAGACGCCCTTTCAAGTTTTCTGGGATGGGTGCCAGTGGAATAACTGTCATAGCTTTCGTCGATGCGGTCGGATTTCTTGAGGCCTTTGTGTTTTACAGGGTAGGAAGAACCACCGACGACGGTGTCGGCATCTTCTTCGTCATTAAGTCTGCTACTCATGTGGTCGGTCGGTCTGAGGTTGTGTGTTAGGATATATGGTATGGTCCCCTTTAGACTATTAATATAGGGGAACTTCGTGTGAAATATATATTTACACTGGCCCTGGGGCCTGGTAAGTAGTCACAGCTAGCACGGATCTTACAGCTGGCAGGCTGTGGGGCGTAAATACAGAATACGTCACTATTCAGCGCCGCCGACGACCATGAAAGGACACAGAAAGCGTACTAGACCTGCTGAGGAAAGTAACTTGAAACAGCAAGACTGTGATATCCATTCGGTGTAAGTCGATTTAACACCCAGCCAAGGTAAGCGTCGTAATTAGGTTCCAGTGCCAGAACTTTTAGTAGCGTAGCGGAAACTCCACGTAATTTTTGGCACGTGACATACACGTAGCGGATTTAATATAACTTTCAAAGTACTTACTGTAACATATTGAATTCAACAACCATACTTTTAGCCGCAATGCGGATTCTATGGCTATTCTTGACACTGCTGCCACTGCCTTTGGTATACTCGAATTTTGTCAACAACACAGAGAACCTGCTATGGGGGGCTTATAGACCCAACTTGTACTTCGGCCTCCGACCAAGATTACCCCAATCCCTTATGACTGGTCTGGTGTGGTTCGGCACTCAAAACTATCAGTCTATAGCCAGTATGTGACCCAAGTATACAACTACAGCAAATCAGCTAAACACTTCATCAGAGGCTCGTCACGCATGTGACCAGGGCGATGGCCTGGACAGCTACACCTGGACGCACTTCAATCCACGACAGGGCGGTGTACAAATACTGCGCGACAGCCAAAACAATGTGGAAATTACAACCGAGTTTTTGAAGGTGCCTGGCGGCTCCCATGGTGGCAGTTGGGTTGCGCGTATCAAAGGAGCACCTATCAACCCTAGTATGTTTCTATTATGACCTGCCATGCACAGTCTACTAATACTTCCGAGCAGTGTTTCCATCCAGAATTTCCACCATATTTTATATCGGCCTAGAAGGACTAGGCGGAATAGATATGGTCACCGATGAGAGCGAGAATGTGAGTCCTAACAAAGTGCCATAGCCAATCGAGTTAATTGAATCCTAAGGGAATCGATGGTCCGGTAGAGTTCTCCGGTACTACGCCTGACCTCGGTGATTTTACTATCCGCATAGTCGATGGTATGTTTGCTTTGTTATTACTTCGTATAGAGCGTCGCCTCATCCTGTGCAGCCCCCGACAACGAGGCTGTTACTACTGGCCCTCACTCTGAAGCTTTTGAGGAACGGCTGGGAAAAACTCACCTGGCCGGCTTGCGCCTGCCACCGGGGCAACTATGGACCGCGAAAGGTGAGTCATCTCTCTCTCGGAGATTGTATCATTCCGTGACAACACAGGACATCAGATCACATCATGCAGAGCATCGTTAACCGTGCAAGCCCGATTGTTGAGAAATACCGCACTGCTGAACAGGCGCCTGATCCTTCATTTACCCTGCAGCTTCCTGATGATATTCTCACTGCAAGCAATCTTTTTGCCGTTCAAAAGTTTTTCGAGGGAGAGTTCCAGTTTGATGTCTTTTTCGAGAGTGCCAGTGCGAATCAGACGTTTGATGGTTTGATCTAAAGTACTTTCTATTCAAATGGACACTAAATTCCTACCACAGCGAGCACCATTGATCAAGGCATTGCGGCTGTCGTAGCGTCCTTCAATAGTCGCTTTGAGGAGACATTCCCAATCCCACCTTCATACCCAGCCAACGATGTTACAAGTTTGGAGTCTTTTAGTAAGGCTATCACCTCCAACCTCTTCGGTGGTATCGGCTACTTCTACGGTACATCCATCATCGACAAAGGATTCGCGTATGAATGGGACCAAGATGATGAGATGGATGACGCAGGTGATGGACAGAACGGCGCTCGGTTGACTGAACCCCGTGCTCTGTTAACTGCTACGCCTAGCCGCAGCTTCTTTCCGAGAGGGTTTTACTGGTAATCAAATAGTCGTTCAAGTCAAGTTCACTCATTGACTTTTACAGGGATGAGGGTTTCCACCTTCTACACATAGGCGCATGGGACACAGAGCTTAGGTATTCGACGATAGCCCTTTGTCCTATATCTCGATATCTGACTATTTGTAGTCTCGAAATTCTCAAGGGCTGGATCAAGCTCATCGATAGCGATGGCTGGGTCGCACGTGAACAGATCCTTGGCGAGGAAGCGCGCAGCCGAGTCCCTGCACAATTCCAGACTCAAGTGCCTACTTTCGCAAACCCTCCAACTCTAACGATGGCAGTAACAGCCATCATCAAAAAATACAACGCTGCACATGATGGACCTTCCGCTGCAGATCTTGGGATGGACTACGGCATGAATGTACAAATGCCCGTTGCCAGCGAGCCGGAGTCCAGCGCGGCTCTCGACCGTGCTGCTGTGCAGTCTGTTCTGCGCGACATGTACAAGCCCTTGAAACGGCACTATGAGTGGTTCCGCCGGACGCAGCGTGGACAGATCAAGCAGTACGGCCGTCGGGCGCGGTCACGCACGGAAGGGTACCGTTGGCGAGGACGCTCTGAAGCACATGTTTTGACGAGCGGAATGGACGATTATCCGAGAGGTCCGCCACATGCAGGGGAGCTTCATTTGGATCTAATCAGCTGGATGGGCTTCTTCACCCGAACAATGAAGGACTTCGCACAGTTTATTGACGAAGAAGAGGATGCTGCAAGTTTTGCTGAGATTGAGTCAGCTATAATAAACAATATTGACGGTGACAAATCTCCAGTTTCTCAAGAGGCGCTGATTTGTTGTTGACTGATACAGATCTGCATTGGGACGAGGAAAGCGAGATGTACTGTGATGTTGGGATTGACTCGGACGGTGAGCTCTTTCCCTCCTGTGTGTCATTTAAATGCCTATATGCTCTCTACTAGATGAATCGACCCATATCTGCCATGCGGGTTATGTTTCACTCTTTCCGTTCATGCTCTCGCTGCTCCCGCCGGACTCCTCACACCTTGGGCCCATCCTTGACATGCTGCGTGATCCCGAACAACTCTGGTCAGAGTATGGTATTCGCAGTTTGAGCAAGAGTCATCCCGAGTTCGGGAAGGGGGAGAACTACTGGAAAGGTCCAATATGGGCACAGATAAATTATATGGTGCTTGGCGCGCTGCATAACACGTATGCACGTGAGGAGGGACCGTTCCAGGAGAAGGCCAGAGAGATGTATGAAGAGCTGAGGAGAAATTTGGTGAATAATGTGTTCAAGGTAGGTCTCCCTCGGAAACCGTCTCAGGCTTTGTTCTGTAATGCTCATTTCGACCTAGGAATATCAAAGAACAGGATATGTATGGGAACAATATGATCCCCTTACCGGAGAGGGACAGAGGAGGTTTGTATTCTATCTGTGATCATCTACCTTTGGTGCTAATTCGTTTATTTACAGCCACCCTTTCACTGGTTGGACATCGCTCGTCACGCTCAGTAAGCATTTCCGCTCTACCTTGGCCATGGAATTATCTAATGTCTACCTCTTACCTAACAGTCCTCGCAGAGATATACTGACCTAGCCAGACATTGGCTGGGGGGGAAATCGTTACATAGCGGTATACACCGTCGATAGAATCAGCTGGACATATGGCATGATAAATAACTTTGCGGCAGTACCGTGGAATACAATAGGGAATTTTTCACTTTAGACTCACTCGCCAGACGGCACAAGTAAGTCGTCCAGTTTGCGTCCAGTCATGAACTATTTCTCGACTTCCATGACAATGTAAATGTAAGACGCGTGATATGTGACGTACATGAATCCAACAGTTCGTGAGCTTTGCACAGGGACTCAGTTCTACCCGAGTCTCTCAAATCGACTCGACACAACTGTTGGTGCCGAGCACAATCATAAATATTTTGATCAGGGTCAGAGTTGTCGGAGTATGCTTTGAAAATCAATGAATAAAACATAAGATCTTTTGAGTGGCCCGCCTCGAGGTCATCTGGGCCTTTAAAAATTATAACGACCTAACTGAAGTCTTCTTCGCTTCTTCATTGTTCAAGGCAACTTTCAAAGGCACGTATATGATTCCTTCTCTACACATGTGTAGGAATGTAATAGACCTGCACGCGATCTCCGAAAAGAAGAAAAAACTCATCAATCAACGATATCTAACATACATTACACAACATAAACTTTGGACCGTGGTGAAAAATTGAAATATCATACTGCGAGACAGAGATATGGGTGATTCATTCCGATTCTTCTTCATTTCCTCCTCAGTGGCGATAACACAGGCGCAGAGGCATCTCATTCCGCGTCAACCTCAGGATAAATACGCATGATGCGCCTGAGCTCTGCGTCTGGAATCCTCGGTGTGAACACAATAGGGCAAGAGACATATGGCATCGCCACACGCATGAAGCCCACGTCATCCAACGGCTTCGTAGGATCTAGAGTGAGCTGGAAAGCCCAAAACAGAAGGGCTGAGTTGATCCACACTGATCTGAACCGGTCGATATGAGCCGCGAGGATTGTGTGCATGAAAGAATACATTTACCTGTTTGCAAGGTGTAAAGCGGGGCATATGCTGGAATGAATGATAATCAAAGAGAATATAACCCGAAAGACGACACTACTTACCGCCGACCATACCCATAGACAAAAAATGTGAGATCATCTCTTAAGCCGCCTCGGTCATTCATCCAACGCTGAGGCTTGAACACGTCAGGATCAGGATAAACTTCTGAATCTCGCGAGATAGCCCTGATAGAGTAATTGTCAAGACCTTCGCAATTTAAAGGATGATATCTACCAATTGCTACCGAGTACCGTAGTTCCGGCAGGAATGCAATAGTTTTCCTGCCCAGCGAATATCAGATTATCCTTCCCACGACAAATTATTGAAGAGCACTTACCCAAATCACATCTTGAGTTGTTCGGTGAGGAAACCCTGCAGTGTGAATAATGTGTGAACTTCAGCTACGGGACCGACAATGAAGATACTCACCATTGGGACTCAGCGTTCTCCATCTCAAAGCCTCAGAGATGAAGGCGTCCAGGAGAGG